ATCTTAACGTAAACAAATAACGTCGCACACTACAAAATGGACTAAGCCCGACAATTATTTTAAATATATTTTATTGTTATACATTATTTATATATACACAAATATTTAAGTAAATGTTCTTTTTATAATAAATAAACAATATTAATAACATTTCCCAGCTTTATTCCAAGTCAATATAACATAAGTGCACACGGCTTAAATGTGGCACAAGGCCGAAAGTATGGGGCACCCAGTGAGACACACAGAAAATTGACGTTTTGCTTTTTGAAACTTTTCTAGATTGTTTCCCGACTAGTAAAACACTACTTCTCCTTGGTCTCACGTTTTTTATTGGTATAAATTGGAGCGACTCTATAGAATCAGTTGCTACGTCTACTATAAAGAAAGTTGATTCACTATGCCGTGCCAGAAGATTTTTCTCGTCAGAATCAATCTTGCGCATAAAAATCTACCATTCATGCGTGCATTGAATACTTTTGCCATATCTGGTCTGATGTTCCTGTTGCACATCACGAAATTCTTGAAAAAAATCTAAAGAAGGATCTGTAATATAATCGATCTTGACCAGGCATTTCAACTTCAGTCACTTTATCACCGACCTGACATGGCTTCCTTTTGTCTTTTCTACAAATATTTTCATGGCAGCTAATCAGACGAGCTTTTATCCCTCGCCTCGACTATATGAATTTAAGCATACTATTAGATTAGCAACTAGGTCTCACCGTTTTACTGTTGAACTAGATAGATGCAACCACAACTTCTACCTTTTATTTTCTTGCACTTCTCACCTGTGGAAACTCCCTTCCGATTTCGTGCTTCCCTGATAAATACAAACTTTAAATGCAATGTCAATTGCTATCTTACATTTTCTTGAACACTGATCCTTTTTGGTCCTTTCCTCAGCCCACTTCTTATTCTCTTTCACCTTCACTCCCTGAAACCAAAATTAAAAAAAAATTAAAATTTTGATCCGCGGTTAGTTGAATTAGCACATTCGAAAACAGCGGATACAAGGTGTCAGTTGTATATTATATTTATAACAGGATAAAAAAAAAAACTTCTCAGTTCACCCCATTTCCCAATTTTCCGAGTAGATAATAAGGAAAGATGGTTTAGAAAATTTGATACTCACAGGACAGATTAAAGGCAAGAGGGAGAGAGGAAAACAGGGCATATTACAAATGACAAAACTTTTAAATTCCTGATCGGTAGGGCTGATAATCTTTCAGTCCCTTTTACATTGTATATAGCATTCGGATATAATTTTCTATGTCCCCACAATATATTTTGCAAAATTTGCTAATAGTGGAGAACTCACTGAACATCAAGCTTACAGACAATGGCTTGCGAGATTATTGCGCTTAATTTATGATGTATGTTTCTAATTGATTAACAATTGAACCATTCTGGTCTTCCTATTGTTTGAAAAAATATCTTAAACAAAATTATCTTTGATATGATTATACTATTGATTTTTTCATTGATATAGTATATCTCATTCACTCTGCCATCGTGTGAATAAATATTCGTCCATTTTAACAAAAAGAAAATTAACATCATAATCGATAATGGACCTTGTGAAGATATTAATCGGCCTTTTTATTTGTATTAATTTAGAGCACCTGGATGCAATTATTGATGAAGAGTGGGTGCGTATTTATATCAGTAAAAATAACAACAACAATAATAATAATAATAATAATAATAAAGGTGTTAGTAACGCCTTTCTTCACGATGTGAGCTGGGACTTCGAAGATGATGGATGACAGCGGATGATGACGTGGTTAATGTTCTGACACTGCAAGACTTCTGGCAAAGTTTACAGCGTCAAGTCTGAAAGGGTGGCGAGCCGATAGTGTTGGCGCTGATGCTTCTGGCAGCAACAGCTGGACACTAAGAACACTACTTTAACGGAGCAGGCAGCTGAGACATAAGCCAAGTTTATTCGTTTTTCACTACTCTCAGTTGATTTGGCAAAATAGGATGCTAACGCAAAAGGAAAAAAATAATCATGTAAAAGAGCGAGAGAAAAAGAAATACAGAACTTTCAATGCTAGAAAATTCAAAAGAAGAAAATGGAAAATTGAAACAAAATTAATATAATGAATGAATGAATAAAAATAGGAAGAAAATGTCAGAAAATGTCAGAAAGACAATTCCAGGAAAGAAAAACAATTAAATTAAAAGAGAGGATATAGAAAATTTAAACAATGAATGAACAAATGAATGAATGAAAAAGAAAAGAAAAAGAAAAAGAAGTAAAGGAAAGAAAGAATATTTCTATAAATTTCAAAGACTGAAAGACAATTCTAAGAAAGATAAAAGAAAATCCAAAGAAATAAAATAGAAAATTGTAAAAATAAATGAATGAACAAATGAACAAAAAAGAAAAAGAAAGAAAGAAAAAGAATATTTTAAGAAATTTCAAAGACTGAAAGACAATTCTAAGAAAGATAAAAGAAAATACGACGAAATAGAATAGAAAATTGAAACAATGAATGAATGAACAAACGAATAAAAAAAAGAAAAATGAAAAAAATTAATAAAGAAAATTATCGAGAAAATTCAAAATAAGTAAGAAAGAAAGTTAATTCAAAGATAGACAAAATGAAAATTAAAACCATGAAAAATGAATGAATGAAAGAAAAAAAAGAAAAAGAATGAAAGAGAAAAAAAATAAACAAAATTCCAAGATGGGAAAAAAAGAAACAAAAAATCTTTTAACATTTTGTTTCTTTTTAATATTTTCTTAAAATTTCTTTCTCAAGATTTTCCAAAAAAAAAAAAGAAAAAGAATAAAAAATACTAAAAAAAGAAAATGTGTAGACATTTTCAAAAAAAAAAAAAATAAATAAGATCAATGAAAGAAAGAAAAAAGAAAAGAAGAGAATAAAATGCAAAAAAGAGAGAAAGAAAGCATAAAGGAAGAAAGAAAGAAAGAAAATGAGAAATGAGAACGATGAAGAAATGAATAGTAATCGAACATCGATCGTTCAACCAAAGAGATACCCAGCAGGATGTTCATACGTTCGATTAAGTTCCTTTCTCAATCACTGGGGCGTGCGTCTGTGGCAGAAAACTTCTTAATTCTGATCGTTACACTGATTAAACAATATAAAAGATACACAGTACTAGTAAAAAGTTCTATGGCACTGTTTTTTTTATCTCTAAAGAACTGATGTTTGTCACTGAAGTTGTAATTTTTGAGTATATCACTTGTTTGTTTATATAAACTCTCCGTGTTAGGATTATGTTCATTTGAAGACCAGAAATTGGCAACTACTTTTAGGCATCTCATAAGTTCAGTTCCTACTGAGGTTAATATATTTGACTACTCGTAAAATCTACGATGTTATATAAATATTTTCAAATGACCTTAGTTTCAAGGAATGTTACGAAAGATACCCGTAGGAAATAATCGAAAACGGTGTCATGCAAATAGATATCGATTTTTCCTTTTCTTTCTTTTCATTTTGCACGCATAATATGCAAGATGTCACGCGAGAGAAAAGATGATTTCTCCGGGTTAAGGTATTCCTTCGACTCGGGTCAGTCTCGCCTTATTTCTTCTTAAACGTCAACATCAAAATCCCGATATAAGAATGTGTCATAAGACAAGAATATGCATTGAAATAGACAAAATATATTTATTTCTGAGTTGCTTCAGTGAACGAGAAATTAAGATGGCAATTTTTTTAGGGAGATTTTGTGAAGCTTAACTGGAACGTTATTTATGTCAAATTTTAAATATAAATTGATAAGGAAACGGAAGAAAGAGAAAAACATTTAAATTTCCTCCTCATGAAAAATGATTATAATAATACCTTTTCATATTGGATTGATTAGTATTTGATATTCTGTTTTGCAACTTAGAGTTCTTTTGTAACGTACGATGGCCGTTAATGATTAAATATAACTCAAAATTTCAAGACGGTATTTAATTACAACCGCAGATAAATACTTAACAAGAACAAAATAGTAAAAGTTAACCAAAGGTAATTAACCATTTCAGTGAATGTCTTGTTATTAGCGCAGCTTTAACATCAAGTAAATTCTAACACAAAACCCAAAACATCGACGCACAATAATTCACACTAGTTCGACTGGATAGTTCCACTCAACAGCCACTCAATAATCAGCGCGGTGAGTAACCTGACACCGCTATTTATAAACCTGGCGGAAAACATAAGACCAGAGTATCACGCTCGAACCTCGGTGTCAGTAGTTACTCATTTTCTTCCTATATGATAGAGATGTTATCTGGACAAGTTCGTGTCTAAATTATGGCGTTGCCTTATTTCTTTTTTAAATCTCGACATTATATAGTCGAACTAAAACACTGATCAAAATGTCGATATAAGAATGCATAAAAAGATAAGAATTTACCTCGAATTATTTAAAAATATCTTTTTTCTCTTTTTTTTTTTTTGGAAATGGAAACAATCTCCGAGTGACTTCAGTGTACGAGAAACCAAAATGGCAAATTCTTTTTTTTATTTCTTCCTTAGGGCAATTTTGTTTTTGTTTTGTTGATTGTTTTAAAATTAATCTTTTAACCAGAACAAGGCCAGAGATTTATTCAAGTTATAAGATTACACAATTAATAATCGGAAAATATAACTCCGGGTATATACGGAATCGAAAAATGTAATTCCGGGTATATTCCCGGAGTTATATTTTCCGATTTCTTTTTGAATTTGTAGGTCTGATGAATTGGATCGTGATTACGATTCCAGTGTAGTAAATTATAATCATGGAATATTAGTGTTTGAACCTTTTATATTATATATATATATATATATATATATATATATATATATATATATATATATATATACATATAACTAATTAACCCGTAACTGAGGGAGAAGAGATGTATTCATACCTTTTCCGAGGCTATTTGTACGTATTTGAATATAAAGAACCAAAATGGAATTGCAACTTGTTTATCTGTGTTCTAATTCCGAAGCGTTATCCGCTACCCTATCCGCACATCAACGCTTACAGCACCTGGTATTCCACAGCGGTTACCCATCTAGATACTGTCCAGGCTCAACGTTACTTTACTTCGGTGATCGTACGAGTATCGGTGTTTCATTGTGATATGGCCTTAAGCCTTCGATATGTGAGGCGAAATTGTGTCCAAGCTCAAAACAAGAGTGAAAAAATTCATCGTACTGCTGAAAACTTGCACTCAGTTTGGTGACAATGAAAAGTTATCGGCTTAGTTTTTGAAGTATTGAAAATGACAAGGCAGTTTTTCCCCTCATTGGGCTGTTAGAGCTAGATCCAAAGAGAGATCAACTGCCGGACTCTGGTAATCTAGATATTGGGAGGTGCGCCTATAAACCTTGGTATCGTCTACATAAATATTTACTCCCTGAGAATGTTCCTTGGCAGGTCGTTATTATAAAGCAGAAAAGAGATTGGAACGTAGAGAATGCATTAGGCTACGTCTACGGTGATCTCAGTGGTTCGAAGGCAGACAATAGAAAACGACCTTTAAGCCATGTTACTTCATAGTTATCCATCTTACAAGCCATCATGTAAGAGGGGGAAATGGAAAAGTTATAAAAGCAACAGCTATTAGATTGAGAGAGGAGAAAGCTTTTCGAGGAAGAGTTTTTATCGATTCATATATACTTATCGTTGTTTTAAGGAAACGATTTTTCTTTGTCAGGGTTTCAGGATATAAATGTCGTCAAATTTTGGACACATAATCAAAATTATTGTTGAGGCCAGAAAGATTGAACATTTTATCTTCGAAATAACAACATACTTGGTTTTCCTCGGGCAACAGAAGCAAAGGTACAGGCCAGGAATGTATGAATTCGGGGCAGATAAAAACTACACTTCAAAATTGCACGCATATACAGGTGGTACAAAAAGTGACAAGGGAGGTAATCGACAAATGAAAGCGGAAATCGCATCAAATCACCTTCCGACTCAACATTAATGCCGCTCGATTCACCAGTCAAAGCATTGTATAGTTGAATCGCATAATGTTTCTTATTAATCAACAAATATGATTACCATTGCTGACATCATGACGTAAGTTACTGCGATCCAACTACATTACAGACGATTGCCATTGAACAATGAAAATCTGGCGCCATGTTGCTTAAACTGACTATTAACGTTTCCTGCTCTTTATTGCAGTAAAATGACCAGTTAATGTATAAAGAATTTTTTTCTTTTATTTCTTTTTGCTTTTAAGGAATCTCGTATTTCAACATACCATTACATTTTCTTGGATCTTGAAATCCTTATTAGAGATTCCCAATTACTTAACATCCTTATTTATATGTTATACTGACAGTAAGACGACGAATCCACCCTGTTATCATGGTGTTGTGCAAAATGAACTAGGTCCTTTAATTTTATAGGTTTGAGTCTATAAAGTTGTTAATATTGCAACAAGTGATGTTTGTTGCGACCTAATGATACTTACTAACAGGTCAAATGTTAAAATAAAACAGTATTTAATTACAACCGAAAATAAATGCTTAACAAGAACAAAAAGTAAGTCAACCAAAGATAATTAACCATTTCAGTGAATACCTTGTTAGTAATACGGCTTGGCTTAACGTCTGGTAAATCCTAAATCAAAACACAAATCATCGACGCACAGTAATTCACACTAATTCAACTGGATAGTTTCACTCAGCAGCCACTCAATAATCATTACAGTCAGTAGTGTGACACCGCTATTTATAAACCTGGTGGAAAACATATATTCATAAATCCAGAGTACCACGCTCGAACGACGGTGTCAGTTGTTGCTCATTTTCTTCCTATATGACAGAGATGTTATCTGTATAATTTCGTGTCCAAATTAGTACGTTGCCTTATTTCTTTTTTAAATGTCAACATTATATAATCGAACTAAAAAACTGATCAAAATGTCGGTATAAGAATACATGAATAGACAAGAATTTAACTCGAACTGTTTGAAAATATCTTTCTTTGGGAATGGAAACAATCTACGACTTGCTTCATCATACCATAAACCAAAATGTTGATTTCTCTCTTACGGCAATTTTGTTTAGTTGAAAAGATAAGAATTTACCTCGAATTGTTTAATTTTAAGTTTGTCACTAGTGAAGAGCACTCAGCATTGATATCCTCGATGTATATCCCAAATGTTAATTGATTGGCTAAGGAATGCCGGTAAAATCAATTATTTAAAATTTAATCACGAACTTCTTCGGTAAGATTCCTTCATTCTCGAATGGAAAATTCAACCATTCTTCTATGCAAAATTCTTCAAATTCGATAGCTTCCATTCATGAACAAAAAAAATTTTCTTTTCATTCCACAAATATTAGATTCGATTTATATCAGGCCATTGAGAATGTCATTTCTTTACGCTAAATTTATTCTTCTAAAATCATTTCAGGTGGTTTTCGAAGTTCTTTAGGGATAGTTGTTTTGTTTGAAGATGAATCGCCTGCCAAATGTATGATGTATAATAAAATTTAAATGATTTTCCGGAAAAATCGTATGATATTTATATATCAGTTTTACCGAGCTAATTCTAATCAGGTGCCATCTCCAAATTCTAATTAAATTATTTCTTCAAATAATAATGAAATGTTTTACAAATTGTAATTACATACATTTCCCAAATTATAATTAGATGGATTTTACAAAATTATAATCATATACATTCTCTCAACTATAATTATAAAACTTCCTTAAATTATAATTAGATGTTTCTCCAAATTCTAATTAAAAACTTACTCCAAATTATAATTCAATGGCTTCTCTGAATTATAAACAAATACCTTCTTCAAATTATAATTAGATAGCTCATACAAATTCTATTTAGACGTACTTTAATTAGATGCCTTCCCAAATTTTAATTAGATGACTTCCTAAATTATAATTAGATGCCTTCCCAAATTTTAATTAGATGCCTTCCCAAATTTTAATTAGATGCCTTCCTAAATTCTAATTAGATGCCTTCCCAAATTTTAATTAGATGCCTTCCCAAATTTTAATTAGATGACTTCCTATATTATAATTAGATGCCTTCCCAAATTTTAATTAGATGCCTTCCTAAATTCTAATCAGATGCCTTCCCAAATTTTAATTAGATGCCTTCCCAAATTTTAATTAGATTCCTTCCTAAATTCTAATTAGATGCCTTCCCAAATTTTAATTAGATGCCTTCCCAAATTTTAATTAGATGACTTCCTAAATTATAATTAGATGCCTTCCCAAATTTTAATTAGATGCCTTCCTAAATTCTAATTAGATGCCTTCCCAAATTTTAATTAGATGCCTTCCCAAATTTTAATTAGATGACTTCCTAAATTATAATTAGATGCCTTCCCAAATTTTAATTAGATGCCTTCTCCAAAATATATTTAGATACATTCCTTCAATTATAATTAGACACGTTCTCTAAATTGTAATTATATGACTTCTCCAATTTATAATAAAAAATCTACTCTAAATTATAATTATATTCCACATATATTTTAGGATCCAGCACAATTGTTTTGGAAGTTATAGCACTGTGAAATCGTTAATGCTTCCTATTACAAGGATTATTTATTGCAATCTAATTACAATTTAAGCACAAGGCTGAAGGAAAAGTTGGATGAGACTAGTCAACGCTATCCTAAACCTAGCTAATCTGATACCGCAATCCACTCATTCATTAGAATTTACTCTATCAGCAAAAGAACTCATCGATGCTCATTCGATCCAAAATATATTACAATGCCGCATATTCACAAGAATCTTATTAAAATATCCATGATATAGAAATTTGATAATATACAAATTGTTTGTTTTTTTTTTACAGAAGTATAGACTACAATAATAATAAAATTATTTTCAAGATCTCTTTTTAATATCATAGATTTCAGCATGTAGGAGATTTCAGCTCTCCATAGCTTCTTGTTTTTAATTCATGCGAACTTTGACAAGTGAACGATAGCGAAGTTGTTTCATTTGTTTTCTCTACAGTTTCAAATTAAGAGTTTCTTTCTCGTAAACTAACTGCCATACCAATGTTTGCACTGAAATGTAATACATAACTAGAAAAGACATGACTTCCTTAATTTTCCCAACGTTATGTGAGAAACTGAATGCAGGAAACTAGACAAAAATTTGAAGTCTGTTAAACGATTCCATTTTTTGTCGCCGATAACCGCTACGGTGCAGATCTTTTCCTATATCCCATGTCCCTTCAGGACATGGGTGATCGGACCACCCTACAATTCCCTATTCTTTGTAGCGCGTATTAAAGATTGACTTTTTGCTATTCTCTCACAATCCTTCTTTTACTAACCATTTACCCAAGATCGTTAACTAGATTATTCGCTGCTTTCCTTTGTCCGTCTTGCCTTCAATATGCCCTGTGAGTGTCAAATTTTCCGAGCCCTCTTTTCTCGTTATATGCTCTAAAACATTTGAGACTCTCTTTCTACTGCTACGTATAAGTGTCCTTTTGTTTCTATTTTCTCTAAAACTTAGTCATTTAGCATCCATTATTAGAACCACATCTCTGTGGACTTAAGTCTGTTCTTCATCTGTGGTGAGATTGTCCAGCATTCACTACCATAGAGGAGGATCTATATTACATAACAGTTCAGTATTCTTTTCTTTTTTCTAATGAAATTTCCATAATGTTTCCTAATTATTTGCTTAGTTTTTGGAAGGCATCTTCCGCTACCCCAATATGTCTTCAAATTTCGGTGCCGCATTTTCCTTTCTCTGTTAAAACACATCCTAGATATTTCGTTTTTTTTACTTGTTTAAGTTTTGCTATCTCCAATTTGTAATTCGCATGTTGGACTGTCCATTTTTCTAACAACCATCCATTCTGTCTTCTTACAGCTGATACTTTGTCCTTTCTTCTCGCTTTCCTTCACTAACTACTGTAAGTGTTACTTTGGTTTCCTTACCATATCTCCTATCAACACTGTGTCATTTGCATAGCTAATGTTTTTCAGATTGTAAGTGTTATGGGGTCCTCCCATTTTCCATATAAGTGGACTCGACCAGAGTGTTACTTGGACTGCTGCCGTTAAATACCCAGAGTCAGTCGGAGGAGAGAGATTGAGATTGTGATTGAGTTGGAGGTAGAGTAATAGTG